AAAAAAAAAAATTAACAAATTTTCTTCTACATGATGAATGATTCAATACAACTATTTCAAAATTGGCAAACCATTTTTTTCACCATTTCGTTTTTATTTTCATGAATTTGAAAAGATTTAAATTAGTTTACTATTTATTTCTTGGATGAATGTTATTTGAGTTATAAACTTGAAGTAAGAAAGAGGACATACTCGATATATATACAAAGGTTTGATTATTTTTTAAATAGTAACTATTTTCTTCCAAAAAATTCTATTTACTATTTTGGGAAATTAATTTAACAATTTAAGATATATATCAAATAATCACTTATGGAAACTGAGACTCATTATTTAAGGAAGTAACTAAGCCATATTTTAAGATACCTTAATTACTCAAATCATGTCAATAATATATGGTATAAAGTGGACGAATTTATTTTTGGTATTGATGGTTATTTCCATAGTCAATCAATATACGGTGTACTGTTTTCTATAATGAGCAGGCCACTATATTGATTTTAGGCGTGAGTTTCAATTTTTCTTATGAATTAACATAATAAATTACCGTAACTCTGACAAAATAATATGAACGAATATTTTGATATAATGTGCGCGTATCAATGTTTCTTTTATAGAAAAAGCTTTGTATTTTTTTTTGTAATTAGTTTGTCTCGATTTAATTTTTTTTTTTTTTGTTACGACATTTCAAATAATTTTTGTGTGAAATGCATAGTTCATTTTTTTTGCACAATAAGAAGTGTCGATTCTTGTGGCATAAAAAACCTTATGACTGATTGTTTTTACTCAACTACCTAAATATTTTAATTTGGATATTCTATACAAAAGTAAATTCATTTTAATTAATGAAACAATATAAAATTTATATTTATAGTTATTATTCACATAGCTTTTTAAATATATGATAAAATTTTACCAAACTAATTATTTTATGGAATCACGTTATAGTCAAATTGAATTTCTGAATAAAATTTTTGACAATGACATATATTTTGAACGAATATAATGTAATTTGTTATCAGATACGTGCAACGCGCGGGTTGTATACTAATTTTAAAATAGGTATTTTTATGTAATTTTGCACCATTTAAATTTTATATAATATTTTCAATAAATTAATATAGGCACATTATATTACATATTGATTTTATGTTTTTTTATTATTAATAATATTTAATGAGAGTTTTTAACTAATAAATATTAATGAATATCTCTTCCTCGTGCATCGCACGGAATTCGTACTAGTAAGATATAAGGGCATCTGCATTCCTTGCAGCCCATTTAAATGTTCTTGGTTCGTTCAAAACGGCACATTCATTTAAACGAAAAGTATACGAGTCCCCCATTTTTTGTTCAATCCACATTCAGTCAAAAAAAGCATATGAAAAGTAAATGTTATTTCTGTCTGTATATTAATTTCAAAATGTGTTGAGCCTAAGTGACAGATTCTCACGCTTCGGATGCTGACATGTCGAAAATCTATGCTTGGTGATGTTGTTTTTTTATTATTTTTGTAATATCCCGCCAGTTTATCAGTATAAATTATATTTTTAGTTCCGATATTAATTTTCGAAATTAATTATTTTCAGTCAGTTCAGTCGAAATTACCGGAAATTATTTTCGACGTATCGTTTACGTTCGGAATAATTTTGGTAATTAAGCCTTATATTTAATTAAATAATTAAACATAATTAAGGGATTAATTAATTATTAATCCAAGATTGGTCATTAATCCGTTCGGTCATTTCTAATTAAATTCCCCCAAAGCCCGTACAAAAAAAAAAAAAAAAAATAAAAAAATTTCTTTCCATTAAGTCCAAATATGCCGTACATGATTTCCTTAAGAGTGGGGAAAATTGTGCTTCATTTTAAGGCAATAAAACGTGGCATTAGAAGGGCTTAAGAG